GATTGATAAACTGACTGCTTGAGCAATTCGAGGGTTGAATTACATTTTCTGGTTTCACGAGCATACCTTTTTGCTTCATGACAAACAGAAATAATATGAGGGACTTTCAAACATATGAGAGAGGAATTGCTGGTCTCGAAGGGAGTAGGAAAGGTCTCTGATGACCTTCCCGAAGTGTACCTAGCCAACAAACCACATTTCATCTGAGCCCAGTGTGCTGGCGTGGATTGGGGTGGCCAGGACCCTTGCTTCTGTGACCAGTGTCCAGGTGTGAATACTCATGTCCTGGGAGAATGTACTAGACATGGATCCGAGGGTCCTGGAAACTGGTGGGAGTTAGAGCAGCAGAGATTCCTCTTACACCTGAGGCAGCAAGGAGGACAGGGTTGCTTTAGGGCCAGAAAACAAGGCACCCTGTGGATCCCTGTATCAGCAATAGAAGGGCAAATTCATCTGAAAATGCTCTGAATCAAGATCTCTGAGAGAGCTGAAGTGTTTCTGGAAAGGGAAGATAGATTACATTTTTTTTTTTTTTAAGATTACACCTTTTGGTGGGACAAGTTTCAAAGAATTTGGAGACCATGTTTTACAGTTGCCACAATCTCCTTTCTGGCTAGAAATTATTGATGTTCTTCCCATATGTAAAATAATTTTAGCTCCTTCCGGGACTTCTAAGAGTCTCAGCCTATGATAGTGCCAGGCACAGATAAGCTTAAGGTACAGGTTTTATAAATCATGTCCAGATGTAAAAGAAGTTCTTGGGTTCAGTTTTATTTTTTGGAGAGGTTTTTCACTATAGGGCGCGTGCGCTCGCCAGACAGACAGAGAGAGTCATAGAGACAGAAAGCGAGAAATCAGCCCCTGGGGGGATGGTAACACCGCAATACCTTCTCCATTCTCCTCTTGGGATCTTGGGCATGCACGCATGCACACGCACCCGGCATGAGTTTTAAGCCACCGGGTCCGGGACGTGAACCGCGGTCGACTACCTGGGAGTCCAGCGACATAGCCATTACGCTAACTGTTGGTTCCTGGGTTCAGTTCCTTTTGAAATGAAGATCGAATTAACAAGACAGATTATCTGTCCCTCACACGCACCACATACCATGACAGAACAGACAGGATAACCACATAGACACTCCAGCTTAAAAGGAAGAAATGGGAGATACCTGGCAGTCACTGTCCATAGCAGTTCTGGAATTCAGCCAGGCACATGTTTCCAGTGTTTTGAGAAAGGCCAAGGACTACTTCCTAGGGATGATTCTACATGCTCTTGGCTCCACTCTCAATCTTCCTTCCTTTTCCATAGGAAAATGGAGTGTATACCTGCTCATTGTCTGCAAGATTGCCTGTCAGGTATTGTCTTTGACTTTTCTAGTTTAAGCTGGCGGTGCATCCATCCTAAAGACTCTCTTAAAGGGTTGGTCTCCTAGCCTGGTGGTTAAGGGAAGTTGGATCCTGCATGGCCAGCCACAGTTCAAATTCCAATCCTGGGGGGCTTGAAAAACATACTGGGTGCGCACATGTGCATATATGCCCCCAAATCTTGAAAAATCACAAAAGCAGGGAAAGATGGAGAAGGGATTGCAGAGTGACTTTTCCCCATAGGGTGGGCTTTCTCCTCTGTCTTTCTGGTGAGCACATGCACTCTCTAGCAAAAAAAAGGGGGGGGAGGGGGCGCGGTTTGAACATTTTTTGCCAGAGGGTACAGGCACTCACAAGAAACAGAGAAACAGAGGAAGAGGGAGAAGATAGCCCCCAAATGGGGGTAACCATACGGTGATCTTTTCTTCTTTATTTCTTCATCCTGTTAGGATTTTGGGCACATGCACACACACACACACACACACACACACACACACGCACACACATTCAGCCTGTTTTTTTAAGTTACCAGGTCTGGAATTTGAACTGTGCAATTCATCACGTGGGATTTAGTTCCCTCACCCACTAGGGGTTGGCACCATGTTGCCTTTTAAAGACAATAAATTATGTTGAATTTTCCTGAATTATTACTTTTTTTTTGTATTTGCCATTCTTTATTTTTTTGTTCCTAGATATTCTAACTGGGATTGAGTGTTATCTCATTCTGATTTTAGCTTGCAATTCTCTTATGACAAGATACTTTGAACATTGTTTCATATGCCTTTTTGTCATTTATAAATCTTCCTTGGAGAGTTGTCTGTTCAGTTTCTTCGCCCATTTTTTAAATAACTTTATTTATTTTACATTCTTTCACTAAACATCACCACAGCATAAAAAATGTGATTTCCCATCCAGAATACACTGTAAAGTGGCTTAATCATACATGTTATCATCAACAAATAATTTTCCATTTCTTGTTTCTTATATATATTTTTCATTTCTCACCCTCTACTATTTCCCATCCTCCTCCTGCCCTGTTTCTGGTATCTGTAGTTGCTTTCCATTCCTTTATTCTTTCCCACATTTCATTGATTCACAAAATAATTAATATAAATCCTTTCAATAGTAAGTTCAGCTGATATATACATATCTGCAAATACATGTTGACTTTAGGCATGAAACTCTGCAGGTAGAACGAATATACTACAAAGTCTATATATAGTATAGTATATATAGTATAGAGTATATATACTATAAAGTCTATATAAAGCCTAACTGAGGCTATATATCTTACTGCGGTCATGGAATAGGTATTTTTTTTAATTTCTAGAAAGGCAGTTTTGGCCTTAATAAACAAAATCAAGAAATGTTAAGAGAACTTTGCTTAATACGTAAAGCCAGGAAACAGGTTAGGATTCAGTTAGAATAGTATGAACATGGACCTGTCCACAATTCAAGAGAAGACAAAAATCTTTAACTCTGGAAAATAAAGCATAGAAGACCAGCAATGTTTTAGTCAAAAGTCAAAATTCTAGTTCACCAGTTCAAACTCATGTACTTAATCTATCGTCTGTTGTGGTCTGATCTTTCTATTTAAATTCTGGAAGATAACGTCCAACTCTGGACTTGTCCCTACCATTAAGCTGGCCATTTTCTTAATTGTTTTAGAACTCTTATTTCTGTGTGTCTGACTTTAGTTTTTCTGAGATAGCACTCCCTTCAGGACTTGGAGAACTGGTCTGGTGTTGGTAAATTCTTTGAGGTTTTGTTTATTTGAGAATGTTCTTGTCTTCTCTTCTCAGATGAAGGATAATCTTGCTGGATACAGTATTCTTGGTTGAAATTGTTTTTCACTCAACCCTTTGAGTATATTTTCCCATTCTTTCCTTGCTCGCATTGTTTCAGATGAGAGGTCTGCTGTTAGCCTGATGGGATAGCCTTTGTAGGTAACTTGATGTTTCTTTCTTGCCTATCTTAGTATCTTGCCTTTGTCTGTGGTGTGGTATTATTACATATTTTTGAAAACAAGTTTTCAATGGGTTCAATTCATCCAGTCATAAAAATTTGGCTTTCAAACTTTTGTCTGGGATTCTATTTTTTTTTTGTTATTAAAAATGTTGAGATTAACATCTTTTTACATGAATCTTGATGCATGTCTCTGTTTCTTTTTTTTCTTTTTCTTAAAGGCAAGTTTCTAGAAATAATTCATTTGGTCAAAGGGATCCACCACCCCCTCAGAAGCCACGGACATTATCTGCCTCAGATTCCTTTTGGTTTGCTCCTGTCCTACTCTATTTTCTCTCCTTCAACCAGTGCTTTGACTGGCAAGTGTTTGTGCTGAGCAGGCTATAGTTTTGGATTTCTTGCTGGTTTCAATAAAGCCCTTTGTGGGTGGGCGTTGTTCAAGAAGGACTTGTGATGCTGTCACATCCTCCTTGTATCTGCTCCCAGTATCTGTTTTGAAGCAGTGAGTGAGAGGCAATATCCTCTGCATCTCAGATTAATGCTTCACAGATGGTAGATCTTCTCTTACATAGATGGATTATGTGGAGGCGATGTGTGTCACCAACTGCCTCTTTTATGTCAAGTATCTAAGCTAGTAGCCCTCAACCCAAGAGTAGTCATACTCTCAGCCTGGGGTCATTTAGCATTCCTGGAGACATTATGGTTGTTGAACTTGGTAGTGGAGAGGGGTGTTGCTACTAGCATCTAGCAGGGAGAGGCCAGGGATAAAAAGATCACATCTTGTTCACCATTTTAAATGTTCTTTTTTTAAAAAAAATTTTCCATAAGGCATAGGAGCTCAATAAACAGAGGAAGAAAGAGAGAGAGAGAGAGAACCACCCTTTGCCCCCTATCCTTAGGGGGCTACACTGCAATCCCTCCTCCTTTGAGCTCCTCTAAGAATTTTGGGCACATAGGCATACACACCTAGTGTGTTTTTTAAGCTGCTGGATCTGGGACACCAAGTTGGCTATCTGGGACACCAAGTGGGCTATCCGCCATGTGGGATCCAACCTTTTAATGCGCCATGCCACTGGTTGGCCTCCAAATGTTCTTAATGACTCTGAATATTACTAAAAATAAATCATAATTGGGGCCAGCTGGTGGTGTGATGGTTAGGATGGCTGGATCCCACATGACTGACTGTACAATTTGAGTCCTGGACTTGGGGGCTTGAAAAACACGCTGGGAACAGAGGAGGGAAAGATGGAGGAGAGGGGATTGTGGCACGACCATGCCCCATGGGAAGTGATGTTTTTACTTTCTCTCTCTTTTACTCCAGTGAGCACATGTGCCCCATGACCAAATTAAAAAAAAAAAAAGAAAAAAAATGAATTGTAATTGGTAGAGGGTTAAAGGATCTTACAACTCTCTTTCAAACCACCTTCATTTCTTGTTTAAGGTGGAAATATGGATGCTGCCTCTCCAGGGAAATTCATTCCCTTCTTTCTTTCTCTATTTTTCTTCATTATTTCTTTTCTATCTTTGCCTCTGTCTCCTTTTCTCTCTCTTACATGCATATACACACATGCACACTCTCTCTCTCAAAATCTTGTGGGTGCTTGTTCTGGGAACCAGATCACTGTGCACAGAGCAAAAAGAACAGCTGACAGAGGAGACAAACACTCAAGTCTGGAGATTGGGTTTTTATTGAGGTTTGCTGAGACCTCTGTGACTTGTAGAAACCTGACAGAGACTCATGAATGTGACAGGGCTCAGCAGGAGCCAGAGGCAGGGCAGAGTGTTACAGTGTCCCTGCTATGGTCTAGTCCCAGATTCCCTCGAAGGCTGGTTCAGGGTTAATTGTTCTTCAAGACCTGGTTGATCCAGGGTCGGTAATAGGAGATTCGGGTGAAGACAGCAGGGGGCTTTGCATCCCCTCGACCATAGGACACAATGCCCTGAGCCACCCCAGCACACAGAAGAGGGCCTCCAGAGTCTCCCTGTGGGATGAGGGGAGGAGGAAGCAAAGGTGAGCCAGGAAAGTCCTCCAGTCCAACCCATGGGTCTTTACCTATAGTCAGGCCCAGAAACCCTGGCTCCTTAGGGGGTTACATGTCTAGGTCTGATGCCCTTTACTCCTTTCCTGGGACAGCCAACCCATCTCCTTAATGTCACCCATGTGCCCTAGGCAGCAGACTGGGATAGATGGTCACAGACCATCCGGGGGCGTGGGCCATGGGAGGACAGAGAATTCCAACTTTCTCAGTTCCTGTGACTCCACACCATGTTGGCTGACAGTCTTTTGACCCCATTCCTTCTAGAACTCTGGTCCCTGAGCAGTGATTTTTATAGTTGAAGGATTACCTTAAATGCAGATTTTTTCTTCCTGGGATTGCCCACACATAGCTGGCGATTGTGGTCAAAATCTTCGAAGTTTTTGCAGGCCTGGGGCTCCATAAGTCTCAGCTTCACTTCTTGCAGAGTGTCTGAGCCTGGCTCCACCACACCTGTTCTTCCCCAGCCAGCCACCCGGCACACTCTCCCAGGTAAGACAAAGCTGAATCGTGGTGGGAGGGGGAGCGTCCCCACAGCCAGGGTTAGGTTGGCTTTCTCCTCCAGCTGTGAAGGGAATGAGGGCCTTCAGTGCTGGAAATGGACTATGGGCTAGATGGAGGCAAGAAGAGAAGGACAGGGCAGATTGCTTCAGGTTAGAGTCAAGTCCAAAGGGGTGGGATGGCAGGGGGTACAGTCCAGAGGAAGGACAGAGACATTTTGGGGTAGTGGGGACCTGCAGGAGAAGTCTAAGAGAAAGGAATTAGAAAAGGGGAAGAAAGATGTTGTTACCTTTAGTAACATGATGTCGTTGTGAATAAGATGGTCATCATATTTTGGATGAGGGAATTGCTTTACAACCTTAAACTTTTGCCATGTGTCTTCTTTCCTTTGTATGTTATGAACTCCAAGGGTGACCGTAATAGAACTGTTGTGAGGATAAAGGAAACAAGGAGAACAGTGACAGCTTGGGGGTATCTTCTGAGACATGTCCACTCTGAGGGAAGGGGATGGAGTTTCTCACTGGGTCACTGGTATACCTATTCTCCCTTTTCTTGGGCCACTTGTAGCATTTGGAGGTGGCTCAGGTTTTATTAAGAGAAGAGCTTTCTCAGGAAACAGACACAATTTCCAGTGTCCGGCATCCCATCTGGAAATTGCTGTGGAAAGAGTAGGCCGTGGAGAACCCAGGGGACAGGGTCAGCACCTTCTAATTCAGGGAGCTCTATGTGAACGCCAGCCTTTGGGAAGCAAGTGTTTCAGAGGAAAGGGGGACATGGTGGGGCCTCACATGGACTCTGTTCTCTGCCTCCCAGAAAGAGTGGGCTCAAACCCTCAGAACCAAAGGCCGGCATTCTTGGAAAAGGCATAGAGGAAGTGGCCCAGAGAATGGGGTACATTCTTTTCAAAGTGAGTCACATATCTTATATGTTGGGGTTGGACGGAGGGGAACTATTTTCAGAGGAAGGATCTTGGATGAGGTCTCCTTGTCCTCTCTAGGGTTGCTGAGATTACAGAAATTGAGGTTCAGGACATCTATTCAATTGAGACCAGTCACTGAAGCCCAAGTTTCCCCTCTCCTGGAAGTGAACCAAGACCTCAGATCCCCTCTTCAGACTCCACTGCAAGTGAACTCCTGATTGCTGTCCTAGAAATAAACAGCACCCTGTTGTCCCACCTTCCAGCACAGTGAGCAGCTGTCATCACAAAGTCCCGCCTTATCAGGAAACCACCACAAGATGCAATGTAACCCCGAGGAGTGACAATTTGCAAGTGGGCCATGTAGGGGCGGGAGTGTGGCTTGCACTCTGTTCCCCCGATGATCTCCTCTGGAACAGAGAAACCAAGGCTTGAACACAGGCATTTACAGTCTCTCCAGAGAATGTACAAGCTGGGCTAAAGTTGAGAGAGGCTTCCCTTATATCTCATCCTCAGTATGCATTCTGCCCATCTTCTCTTTCATATCTCTTGGATCTGTTTTCCACACCCACCGCTGCTCACCAACAGTTCCATTCCTTCCTTCAGGCTCAACACTAACCCTGACTTAGTGGATATTCAGATATATTTCACCTCTGATTTCCCCACTCCCATCCAGCACTTGGTCCAACCCAATCTGTTTCCACATAGGACAAACTCTTCAGGTTCCTGTCTTGAACTTCTCCACAACCCAAGAGCAGTGTGTGGCCCTGAAGCAGATTAAGAACATGTCTATTTTCCTGGGAATATCTCTTTTCCTCCCACTGGCTCCGGGCTTTGGTGTAGATTCCTCATTCCTGGGAACTACCATAGACTGTGGAGAATAGTGACTATAACCCAGGTGGAAATGTCACTCTGGGACTCTTGAAGAGACACTCAGGGACCTGTTTATGAGTCACCTCTCTGCAGAATGAACATCTTTGTTCTAGGAGCTGATCCTGCAGATTAGAGGGAAGGACCCCGACACTCACCAGCATCTGCTCTGGAGCACAGGAGAAAGAGCAGCAGGAGGGGAAGAAGGAGGCTCATGTTCTCAGAGAGGCTGCCCAGGGCAGGTGCTGGTTTTGCTTTCTTGTCTTGGATTTTATAACTCCCAGTAGGCAAGGGAGGGGCGGGGCTGGTAACCACAGGAACTGCGTGGTTATGTTTTTTCTGACTCTAAGTTGGTTGTCTTTCTGATCAGGAGTTCCCCCAGAATTGTCCCCAACCCCTGCTATTTAGCTGGAGACAAAATTGAGGGCCAAACTCCCAAATCATGGCTCCCAGAAAGAGCCCTCAACCCTGGTGCCTTATCTGGGTGAAGCATGAGAAATGGATGGACCATGCCTTTTTTGGTTAGGGCAGCTTGTTAAAGGCGCCTCAGAAATGTGGGCTGGGAGAATCTATACACTGAGCATTCATTCAGAAGCATACTTTGATGGCTATGACCTATAGAGGAAATGCATTTTGTAAAAAACATCCCAATGTATATGCATGAACACAGGCATATGTGAGTACCTAAGCACAAACTCGTGCAGATACACAAGACAAAACTTTCAGAAAATGGTATATATCCTAATCACATGTAATGTTAACTGTTAGTTTCCATTCTATCCCATTCACCTTATTTCATTTCACTACATGTCAAAACTTGAGTGTCACCCTCACTTAAAGGAGGAATACCTGCAATTTGAAAACCATTGATCTGGATCTCTCTAAATGAAATGTTCACTAGCAGCAGAAGAGAAAGATCCACGGAGAGTAGATGAGAGAAGGGAACAGACATTAGAACAGAACTGTACTCATATCATCACAAGAGAAAATGGGACTGGAATTACTATTTTCAAAGAGGCAATGCATATCACTTACTCTTGTCATAACTTTTAGATATATTATTACTGTCATAGCTCTTAGATGTATTATTACTTTCATAGCAACCCTGTAAAGTAGGTATTATTATTGCAATTTCATCGATCTGACTATCAAGGCTTATGGTTCAGAATCAGATTTTCCTGATTCCAATTCAAGGGGCCTTTTTGCTTTATCCCTAAAGAAAAATACAGAAATAGAGTCCTGCCAATGGGAAGGAGAAGTATAAACATAGGAGAAGGCTGATTTGCCACAGGGTCCTAGGGTTTCCTAGCTCACATTAGGAATCAAACTTGTTTTGCTATAGCTGAGTATGCTGAGTATATACAGGTGCAGAATATGAGGTTTTACTCTCCCCTCCCAACAACCTTGAGAAATGCCATTATTGTTACTTTACAGATGTAGAGTTGAGACTCAGACACATGACCAAGATTGCACAATCATAGCTATGAGAACTGAGTTTCACACAAACACTTGTTGTCTTCCCTGGACTTGGAAAAAGAATCCAGGGGAAGCAGAATGACATGGAGAGAGTAACGTGAGGGAGCAGGCATCATGTGGGATTAATGATTATCCTAATCACATATAATGTCTGCTGTTAGTTTTCATTCTATTCTATTCCATCTTCCAGCGATAGTGTAGCAGAGAAGTCTGGCTTTGGGGGGAAATTGATGATGAGTCATGTGTATGATGCTGCCTACAATGTCTGGGCCAATCCAAGAGTCAGTATGGCCTTTGCTGGACAGTCTCACGGTGTTGTTTGGATGTTTCTGGCTAGGCAGCCTCTGAAGCCAGTTCTGCAGCATCTTGGGAAGCAGCTGTTGTTGATGCATAATGAAGACTTCACTAATATTAATTCAGTTCTTACAACATGAATGTGTAGTTTGGAAGATCAGTCATTTTCCCATAGCTGAAAGTATTCAAGTAGAGGTTGAAGTCTCATTTAAAATTTAGTTAGTGGGAAAGAAAGGTTGGACCCAATGTAGAAGGACTGTCATTTTAATGGTGGCAGTGATCCCTTAGGCACTATAATGTAGAAGGATCATCCCCTCTGAATTCCTGAAACATTGATTATCAGTGCCATTATTCACTTTGACATTTAAGGCATGCAAGCTGGCTTTGCAGTTAGTTGAGGTGAGTATGAATCCTGGTTCTGCCACTCAACTATTTGTCTGACCTTTGGAAAATTCTTCAAGTTCTCAGCCTTAGTCACTGCATCTGTAGAGTATGAAGAATGACATGGCACAGGTTTATTTTTTCTTTTTCTTTTTAAATTTTTGTATGTGTGCTCAGCAGAGGGAGGCAGAGAGAGAGAGAGAGAGCAAGAGAGAGAGAGAGAGAGAGAGAGAGAGACAGAGAGAGAGGAAAAGAGAGAAATGCCCTCCTAGGGGGATGACTGTGCTGCAATCCCTTCTTCTCCATTCTTCTCTCAGGATTTTAGACATGCATGCACGTGTGTTTTTCTTCTATTTTTAACTTATAAGCATAATTTAATGATGAGTAAAAGTATAGAATTGATGAATAATCTTAAAATATTGAATCATAGAAAAGTAGATAGACCTCTCATTGGAGCAGAAAAAAAGACACGAATGAACATAATTAAAAATTGTTTATTTATTTAATTTATTGTCACTGTTGTTCTTTTTAATTATATTTATTTAGTTTTTTTGCTTCTTTTTTTTAATGTTCAGTTGCGCTATATCATATGGTTTGTGAAGAGAATTTATCAACATGAAATACATCTCAGACCAGTACAGGTGAAAATACTATACATGTTATATCATTAACAGATAATAAACCATTTCTGGTCTCACAAATGTCTTGCCTTTCTATTTTTTTCTCCCTGATTTTCCTCCCTATACTCTTTCCTTATTCCCCACCCTCCTTCCATGCTGTCTCCAGTGTCCATAACTATTTTCACTGCTTTTATGTCCTTCAACATTTCAATCTCTACCAGAGTGTTGGTAGTTGGTATATATTAAGTGGATACATATAATTACTTTCTTTCATAGCCTGGCTTGCTTTACTCAGCAATAAATCTTTCATATTTGACCACTTTCTAGGAAATGCCAGGGTCTTTCTTTTTAAAAATTTTTTATGGCCGAATAGTATTCCATAGAATATATGTATAGTATTCCATAGAGTATACTTTTCAATCCATTCATCTGTGGACATTTGGGTTGGTTCCATGTTTTAGCAATCATGAATAATATCAAGATGAATATAGTTGTGTAAGCATTTTCCCATCTGAGCATTCTCCTGTCCTTTGGGTAAATACCCAGGAGTGAGATTGCACATACGTTTTTCAAGCTGCTGGGTCTGAGACTTGAACCAAGCTGTTGACCATGTGGGATTCAGCTGCCGTAGACTCCATGCCATCTCCTGGCCTGGCTCAGGGTTTTTTGTTTGTTTTTCCTGAGAATTAAATATGGTGCTAATGTGAAATGCCACATGGTTAGTCTTTAATAATACTGGTTTCATTCCTTTGTGTTATACCTTGTGCTATTGTAAAATCATTTGATAGATAAACGGCGGCTATGCCCTCACTGAGGCTAAGTATTTGTTGGGGAAAGAATAAATCTTATTTTTCTTCTGAATCTTTTTTCTTCTTTCTTTTTTTTATTTCTTTCTTCCTTTCTCTTTCCTTCCTTCCTTCTTTCCTTCCTTCCTTTCTTTTTCTCCCTGTCTCTTCCTTTCATTTCTCTTTCTTTTCCTTCGTTCTTTCTCTTTCTCTCTCTCCCTTTCATCTTTATTTCCCCTCCCTCCCTCCCTCCCTCCCTTCCTTCTTTCTTTCCTTCCTTCCTTCCTTCCTTCCTTCCTTCCTTCCTCCCTCTCTTCCTTCCTTCCTTCTTTCCTTCCTTCTTTCCTTCCTTCTTTCCTTCCTTCCTTCCTTCCTTCCTTCCTTCCTTCCTTCCTTCCTCCCTCTCTTCCTTCCTTCCTTCTTTAATTTTACCAGAGGGCATGTGCACTCACCAGAGAGAGAGAGACAGAGAGAGGGCAAGTAAGAAAGGACTATTTTTGGGGAATGATCACACTGCAATTCCTTGTCCTCCTTTCTGGATTTTGGGCACACATGCACACATGCCTTGTGTGTTTTTCAAGCTGCTGGTTCTGGGACTCAAACTGTGTGGTTGTCCATGTTAGATCCAGTTGCCTTAACCACCATGCTACAGGCTGGATTTTTCTAAACACATTACAGATTAACATAAGAGTTACAGACTTCAGTTAGGTTTTACTTTACATAGCAGCTTGTTTCTATTCATTTAACTTGAGGCTTTCAGGCTGTTTCTTAACCTTATTCTCTGAGTAATAGTGTCTTTCTTGGTTGAACATGTGTATAAAAGTTATTTTGACCTTCACATTTCCAATTAAGAGACAACACCTATACATTTTTATGAATGTTGAAATCTCTTGAAAAGAAACTATGGACAAAGGACAAGTGAGGGTGTGGGCTCATGCTCTCTTTTCTCGGATAGAGACAGGAGGGCAGTGGAATAGGCACAGTACATCCTTTATGGTATCTGCCACATTTTGCTGAAACAGGCTGAGCTCACTCTGTGTTTGTCCTTGCAGTAAGCTCTGTACACTGCTATAGCTGATGTTTCTGAATGACCTGGTTTTCGCTAAATTGAAGTCAAACTTAACTGCTACTAGCTTACATTCAACATCTATAAAGTAAGTTGAAAAGATAACTTTCAAATTGGTTTATTTTTCTAAGTCTTTAATGCAATATAGTTGACCCTCCATATCTATGGGTTCTGCATCTCTAGATTCAACCAACATAAAAAATATTAGGAAAAAACAAAACAAAAATAACACAACAATGAAAGATAATATAAATAAAAAATAATACAATGTAACAACTATTTATGTAGCATTTATGTTGTGTTGGGTATTATAAACAACCTAGAGATGATTTAAAGTATTGTATAGGGAGGATGTACATAGGTTATATGGAAATATCGCACTTTTAAAAATAATGGACTTGAATATCCATAGATTTTGGTATCCATGGAGGGTCCTGGATCAATCTCTTATGGATACTGAGAGATGACTGTAGTTCCTTTTTGAACTGCTATACTCTGGACAATTTTTTTTTGAATGGACAAAGTATCTAAGAGAATGATGAATGGTGAGGTCCTGGGAGATGATCCCATTTTTAAGTAGGAGAAAGATATCTCAAGGTTGAGTGGTCATATTTCTTTCCCAAGTT